TCAATTTGTTCATTTTGTAATGATATCTTCAATTCTCTAATTTTGGTGAATATTTTTGTAATTTTTGGTAAAAAGTGATATTTTTGACTTCTTGTTGAAAACCGCAAGTCCAATTGCTTTGATATTACATATATAGGTACTACATGTGGACCTCTCTCAGATTTGTTCATTTTGTAATGATATCTTTAATTCTCTAATTTCGGTGAATATTTTTGTAATTTTTGGTAAAAAGTGATATTTTCGACTTCTTGTTGAAAACCGCAAGTCCAATTGCTTTGATATTACATATATAGGTACTACATGTGGACCTCTCTCAGATTTGTTCATTTCATGATGATATCTTTAATTCTCTAATTTTGATGAATATTTTTGTAATTTTTGGTAAAAAGTGATATTTTCGACTTCTTGTTGAAAACCGCAAGTCCAATTGCTTTGATATATTATACATATAGGTACTACATGTGGACCTCTCTCAGATTTGTTCATTTTCTAATGATATCTTCTGTTCTTTAATTGCCATGTGCATTGCTAACAGCGGAGCTATCTCAGCCGACAGGCTGCTTCTTTATCGTTGGTTCTGAAATAAATTTTTTAAAAACGTATGCATGAGCGTGTGTGAACTCTGTAAAACATGATATCAAAAACAGGGTGACCCCCCCCCTATTTCGCACAATCAAAAACAGGATACCCCCCCTACTGATCCACCGCCCCCCCTAGGCCGAAGTAACTGACCAATCCCTAATGGTAAAAGAATGGAGGCGGGTGGAGCACAGTCAGCTAGCATCGGTGTCGCTGGGTGTACCGGTATATGATACATGTCGGGGGGGGGGGGGTGTTATGAAATAGGGTACTGATATAACAAATGTATATTTAGTACTATTGAGAATTCCTGACTACGATGTTGTATTTATGATGTATACTCACAAACTCTTACAGGAAATTAAAAAACAGAGTTGCTGCACAAACTGCCAGAGACAGAAAGAAGGCTCACATGGATTCCATACAGTCCAGAGTGTCTATTCTTGAAGCAAAGAATAGACAACTTTTAATGGCTAATGAAGCACTTCGAAAACAGAGCAACTTATTAAATGAAGAAAACAAATCACTAAAAGCTCAATTAAGATTACAACAGAATTCTACAGTAGAAATTAAACAGGTAAATATATAGCACATTTGAAGTACAAAAATTAAGCTGGAAGACTTTCTGAATAAAACATTTGCATACACCAAGAGAAAAAGAAAATTCCATGGAAGCTGTAGGGGAGAGTAAAGTTGGCATGTTCAAAAAAACTAAAAATGTACAGATACATGTAGAACCACGAAAAAAAATGCATTGGTGATTTGGTCACATTTTTCCAGCCACCCCTATGATTTTAAATGGTTATCTAGTTTTTGTAGTAAACCAAAGATACTAAAGAATTTGTACATTTTCTTTTCCAAAACCAAGAAATAAGTTTTTGCTTGATTTACATGCTTGTAAACTTATTAATTTATTGTTTGTAGGAAAAAGACTCTAAAGACACAACATTGTGTAAGTTGGAGAGAGATGGGTGCGGGTCTGCAGTACTCTCAGTTCCTCAGCAGAAGGAGCACACCCAGATTCTGTCCAGCTGGCTAGCAATGCTTCTCTTGTGGAGGTGAGTACCGATTCGTTTTCATGTGCTAGTCAATGAACACCCTGATCCCTCTTCCCATCTCGGCATATGACCAGCTTGGGAAAATTGCAGGTTATGACAACGATTGGAAATAATATTGGGATCATACACCTGTTGATTCGCACATGGTGTTTGATGGAGTAGGTGATGAAGATGATCACTTTTTGTTTGTCCCCTAGATTCAGTGATTTATCTTTTCTGCACATATCACAAGGGTGGTCCGGGCTTGTATCAACTAGCGCTTTATTACATCCTGGTACTTTTGAGGGGAAATCACTATAAAGGAGAATTTTTCAGAATATATGCTCTCATTTTCAGAAATAGCTTAGCAAAACATAGTTTAAGGTGTAATTCATGGGATGGTTTGTAATTCGACTTTATTTAGTGTTTTTAGAAACAAGTGGCACAAAACCTTCATACATGATCAGAAATTTTTTTCAAAATTCAAATTGGATATTTGGTCAGAATTTGGTCTGTATACACGAGAAATCACTTATATAGAATAAGACACTGAAAGCATTTATAAATGCATTAAGTTTGTGTTTATGATGTTATTCGCCCTGTGAACGTTTTTTGTGGACATGGGCACAGAACGTGTATGAATTGATGGCTAGCTTAAATAATAGTGAATGATTACCAAACTTCTCAAGTTTTAATGAAAATATAATCCTTTTTTTTACAGTCTGAATTCCTGTTGGGGTTACTCGAAGACCTCAACTCCGATGGATTCTTTGAAGAGAAACCTGGAGACATTATTTCCGAACTCTCCAGTGAATCCGAATGTCCCACAGATGCCCAGGTGGTGGGGCCCACAACAAGCCAATTGGAATCCCTTAATGAACTGATACGATTTGATCATGAATACTACAAAAAACCAGTGATCTGTGAACAATCAGTCGACAATAAAACAACTGCAACTACTGAAGAAAAGACTGTAGTACCAGACATGATTCCTTCACCAGCAATTCCTGATGTCGCTGTTCTTGACATGGAGACGGAACCAGATATGTCAGAAATGTTTAGTTCATCAGTTGACTTGAACTGCAATATTGAGGACTTGCTAAGTGTAGATTCTGCAAAATGTGATAGTTACAGTGACTCTGGTATTTCTGACTCAGAATCGATGGGTTTCCCTGCTTCTCCACTAAGTAATGATTGGCAAGAAACATTTACAGACTTATTCCCATCCCTTGTGTGAAATGATCAAAATATAATCGGAAATCCAATATGAAGTACTCAATACTACTATTATTATTTATAGTAGCCTGTATATATTTTCTTATTTATGATAGATGACATGGTAATAATCATTTCTTCAGTAGTTATCCTGTCGGCATAATAAAAATGTTCATAAATGAAAGCTGTTGTATTTTATCCCCCCTCTCCCCTGCCAACAATCAAATCCCAGTGTGTCATCTAAGACTACACTGATGTGCTGTGACAAAACTAGTTGTGCTACCGGTAATTCATATGCGTGTCATCAAATTAACATTTTTACCTTTCCCTGTACCATCAAAGATGGAAGGGAAAGGTATATTAGGGGGAAAAAATGTTGTCCGGTGGTGTTGTCGTCAGCAGCAGTGGCGTCATTAATAATTATGTGCACAATAACTTGACTAATTCTATTCCAAACTTCATCAAACTTGATTACCTTATTCATCAGTATAAAGTCTTCCCTGAGTTTGAACAACGGATTTCCTGTATGAAAATATGCAAAAATGTGGAAATATGCATTGTTGTATGTGTTCAATGAAGCAAATCATTTATCTTGTAATAATATCCTTGGTAATGTATCTCTCAAATCCCATGGGAATACTATACTGGGTTTCATAAACAACTGTGGAGAGATTTTTTGCACAGTCTGATGCACATTTACAAAACCTACCAATAAAATCTTCACAGAAAACAAGATGTCAGAAAATCAATATAAGCACTCCTATGAACTGGGTGCCAAACTTTGATCAAGATCTGAAACTAATAGAAAAACTGTTTAGTTCAAAGTTATCAAAGCAAAACGTTGCATCCACATTTAGAAAAGAAAATTGTACTAAATATATGTATTCTGTATTTGACAAACAGTTCATTCGACAAATGAAAATTCATAAGAATTTGTTTCAGCTATTAGAACAGAATGATAGAGCTTTTATAATACTAATTTAAAAACGCACTTCAAAAACAAAGATTGCAGTGTTTGAAGATGTAGATTCTCAGGAAGCAACAGTACTGTTGACTTTTCTCCCTCTCCACTGGACACCAACTAAGGGACAACGTCAAAATATCGATGTCGGATAAAAAACTTATTTGCTTTAGTTTGGGGGTGGGGTTTTGACCTCAAAAAGTTTCCATCCTACAAAAACGATTTTATTTTTTAATGAAGTCAAAAAAACCTTGGAGTATTTGCATTTCGTTTTTTTTTTCTATCCAATCATAGACAAAAATAACCAGAAAATGAAAAAAAACACAT